TCAACATCTCGTCTTCAAAACCTTTTTTCATCGGACGGGAGACATGATGTCTCACAATAGTGCGCAATGCGCATAATTACGTCGACTAATATTTTTGTAAACGTTTCCGCGAAAAAGACGCTTACCTATTGTTTTATGTATTAATTTTTGTGTTATTAGAATAGTAATTAGATTACGGTACTGCGATAAAGACGCTTCGTTTTGTTTTCGTTTTCTAATCCAGTAGGTACGTTTACATTATTTGCGATAAGGACACTTTTATTTGCGTTATTAGTGCTTGTGTATACTTGTGATTGTGATAGCAAACACCCTACACAGCAGCTTAATATGCGGACATGATCCTAATTTACGGAGAATGTCATCAAAATGCCGCTTTTGCGTGTATTTTTCAAGTAATCTGTTCGAACACACCTGAAACCTTTAATGTAGTCGGCTTTTACTTTATAAAAATGCATTATTAGTAAATGAGTAGATGTTTGTAGTCAGGACTATAAACATCTAAAATAAGAAATCCGTATTCTTGACTAAATTTTATAGATATATAACTTAAATCAGAAATTAGTATACATTTCAATCAATCTACCAAAGCCTACTGGTCCATCTCAGCTTCGCTCGGGTGGTTTCTGGATCACCACAACAGCGCACACACTCAAATACACAAAAAAGTTTAATCGGCCCAGGCCCAGCTGCTGAGTTAAGTGACTAACACTCGTACAGAAGAATTATATATATAAAAATTATATGTCCAAACTTAATCTTATTTTATAAATTAAGAGTGTGGAGATTCTAAGGTCATTCAAAGGCACGCCTGTGTTTGTTTACTACAGGGGGAACGTGTTGAATGTTGAATGAAGCTTGTGCGATTGTCCTCGAGCAGTGCGCGCCCATGACCTAATTCCACGTCGCTAGGATGCCACCCGTTGTATGCTAATGCTAGCATACCTAGGCCGATTTCTAACATGCGGCATACTCGAATATGGGAATCGTTAGCAATCATGTCAATTATTTAATAGTGCATAACAAAATACATTTCAACTCCAATTAAAATATTAGAGATACTCGCAACTTTTATTTTATGTTTTAATGTATGTATTTACCGTGTCAAATAACAGTACGTAAGGCTGATTATATTGTAAAAGCGTAAACATAAATGAATGCAGTAAAGACCTAAATAAATTATTAACGTAGAGATCAATTTTCGGTAAAATTCAACTGTCGTGTTACTAAATTAAAATAAAATAATAGATTTTCCAACAATAATAATTGTAATTCAGCTCCGAAGATTTCGACACTGAACGGATTCAATTAGTGCAAAATTTAGGGGTAAATTTGACCGCGCGGTGCAGCCGCCCAGTGTTTGTTCAAACCCCACCGGCGATAACTACCCCCGCCCGGTATTAATTGGCCGAATTTTAATGATAGACAAATACGCGGCCCACAGCAATGGATTTTGTTGTTTAAGCCGGGTACATGTTAACGAGATCGGCTGATATTATATTTCTTTATTAATTTTCTTACTGTGTATTATTTTCTCAATTGCCCTTAAACCAAAAGTATTATGTTGTAAGGTACTATTTTATAAAATGAATGTAAAAAATAATATTATTTTTATATCATTGAAAATAATATAACACATGGTTGTATTATTTGTTGTAGTCACACTTTACAGCAGTACACACTTTGCTTACCGTAACAAAGCTGCCACTCGAGAACTTTTCTTTTCTATCAGGTACTTCAAGCTATATGGTCGGCTCATTACCACTTGAGCTTACTGATCTATAGGGCTATGTCGGTCACTCTGGTTCCACTAAGGGTATTCTCATTGCGAAATATATCACGCAGATAAACTCTAAGCATAGCCCTTTTTATAGCGCGCCGAGCGAACTTGAGCTTTCTCATACGGCCAACAAGAGACCACGTCTCCGATCCATATGTCATCACTGGCAACACGCGACGTTTACACTTTGTAATATTATTTGATAATTAAAAAAATTCTTGAAATGCTACGCTCATGAATTGTCAGCATCTTTACTTCATCTGGTTAATCACTATACAGTAGTTAAATCGCAAACAAGGCCGCATTACGGGAGTTGGCGGCCGGGACGGGGAGAGTACGACGGGGGCGCATGGTAAACATAATTAGCTCAATTCGCCACTCTTTTAATTATCCATTCACCCCGCGGCTTATCCCCTTAGTTATCGCAATAATTTAAGTTTATAAAGTACAATGTAGCTATAAATTTAAGTAACAATTGACGTGTAACATGTGGTAAAATTAAAAATTTTGTTCAACCGACTTCAATATAAATAAAATGAGAATATCGTCAAATATATTCGAATTCAATGAAATAGGCATTATTAAGGATAACTCAAAACTACTGGTCAGATCTTGATCAAATTTATATGGGACCATATGAGAAGCACCTTCATATTCGGGCAAACTCGGTTCACTTAGAAAAAAGTTCTGAGGTAAACACACACAAAAAATACAGTCGAATCGAGAACCTCCTCCTTTTCTTGAAGTCGGTTGAAAATAGCAAAAATCGCGTGGTGCTCTTAGGAAACGCACACTTCGCTCTAAATCCTAATCGTACTTTTTCATTTATAAGCAATTTCTTTGATATTTTCGAAACTGCTTATTTGGTTTCTGTCTGTTAATATGCATGGAGTCATTATTAATGCTATTACGTTATATGAAGATGAAGAGAGCTAAGCTCGAAGTTGCCCTACTTGATCTCGTTATTATGGTATTAGCAATAGAACCAGAGTACCGAAAAAGCGTAATGGAGCAGTAAGCTGAAGTGGCAGTGGACCGGCTATCGTATAGCTCGAATAATTGACAGCAGGTGAGGAGGAAAGGTTTTCGAGTACAGCCTTGTACTTTTACCGATACACAGAGTGTAAGGCGACTCTCCCACTAGGTAGTGACGTGCTGGGAACAGACGCAGAAAGTCGATGGATGCGGGGCTCTGAACCGTGCTGTGTGGAATTCTTTATGGATTTGTAATGATGAGGATTATGTTGTAGATAAATGTATAAAAGATACTGATTTAAGTAAATAGTACATTCTTCACGCGCCGCAGATTCAAGAAATGCAGGGAATAGAGTGAATGGGGCACTACACTCTATTATGAAGAACCAGAATGTGTCAAAAAAGGCACGTATGGTAATTCATAATGCTGTGTTAGTCCCTACTTTAATGTATGGTAGTGAAAGCTGGGTGTGGCAGAAGAAGCACGAAAGTAGAATAAATGCTGTAGAAATGCGGTCTTTAAGGAGTATGTTAGGGTTGAATCTGAATGACGGTGAGAAATTGCGTGATAAGAGATAAATGTGGTATGCAAGATGATGTTGTGACCAGGATTAAGAAAGGAATGCTTCGGTGGTTTGGTCATGTAGAAAGAATGAATGAGGAAAGAGTGACAAAGCAAATTTATATGGCAGATGTGAACGGCAGAGTCGGGAAGGGACGCCCTAGAAAAAAGTTTATCGACCAAATTGGCGATATTTTGAAAATGGGCCACGTTAGAAGTACCCTTAACCGACGAGCATGTATGCGTAGATATATGGATGTAAAGGAGGCGAAAGAGGTATGTCAGGATCGTGCCAAATGGAAGTCCGTAGTCTCTGCCTACCCCTCTGGGTGACGGGCGTGTTTATGTCTTCAAGCGATGTGCGTAAAAAATAATTAGGAGGTGGGACTCCTTTGTAGGAGTAGTACCTACACAATATGACTCCTACGTAGGAAAGACATCTTACCTATTTCTAACATCAAAAAAAAACTATTGATAGATAGAGATACGTAATTTTAGTTTATCGAAATAGAAGCGATAAATGCGAAATTCACGTAAATGCGATAAATACGAAATAAGTATAATATTTTGTGTATTTAATTCTTTTCGACGAAATTTTTAAACGAAATAAACACGTGAATTTTCTAATACCACGAGCCTCACGCACGTTACGAAAGCGCACTCTTAAGTTTATTCGCGAATGCAGCTAAACAAAGTCTTCATAACTCGGTCAACAGTGTAGATATGCTGAAAGTATATATTTCGATATCTACAATGACGTCATATATGACCGAAGGCAAAGGCTTAAGCAAGAAAATATAAAGACAACCACGATGTTAGCTTTTAACTAACTTTTCTGCAGTAAATATTTTGTTATTTTAATGATTACGGTAATAAATACGAGTTTTTAAATATTTTTCGTTTTTTTATCCGAATAAATGCGAAATTTTGGATTTTTAAATTATATTTATGCGAAATTTCAGTTTCTTAGTTGCGAAATATACGTAACCCTAATGATAGATGATGGAATACCCATCTCACACCACAACTACTCATTACCTATGATGGTAGCATATTCCGAAGATGCAATTGCAAAAATAAAGAGAAGTGTGGCGATTACGGCCAAAAGTAGAAATGTAATGTAAAAAAGGAAATCTACGTAATTCTATGAAATATTATACAACGTCATTCAAAATATTTGATTTGCATCCAATGAAATGAATATTTGCAATTGAATATTGGTATTTGTTTGTTATGTGTATATTAATATTTGAAATTTGCTGCTTTGTAATAATGTAATAGATTTCGCTCGCCTAGGGGGAGGCGTATGATGTCAGCGGTAGACTCTTTGTGGGTTTATAATGTTGAAGAGGATTGATGATAAATCCTGTTCACGAATAGGTCGGCTCGATCAGGAAGGACCACGCTTTCACAGAATACCAGCGAAATATAGCAGCTCTATGCTGCTGTGTTTCGTACGGTAAGAACCAGAGACCCTTTCTACTGGAAATGAGGCATTCTAACTTACTCATTGAGGTGACAACGCATATGCATTTTTATTCTTAATCTGAGGTAGATGCAGATTCCTATGCGTCACAACATCTTTACCATCAAGTGTATGCTTGTTTGTCACCCTTATAAGACCCGTTTACTAATATTAAAATGTTGCTAAATGATACGTATTTATTTTATTATCTTTGTTGGCAGGCCAGAATCGAATCGGACACCACCGTTGCCACCGTCGCCGCCGCCGGCGTCATCCGCCCCGCCCGCGCCCGTCACGTCCACGTGCACGGCTACGGATACGGGCACGGGCACGGGCGCGACAACGATCGCGAGTGCGGGCACGGTGACGATCACGGTGACGCCCGTGGCGGCTAGCCCGGCCCCAGCGATGGGCAGCACGGCTGGTAGTAGTGCGGTGGGCATAGCCAGCCCGGCTTCAGACGCTCCACTGCTGGTGGCCGAGCTACCGCCCGCCTCTGCAGCCGCTCCCCCGCCCGCTACAACGCCTACGTCTACGCCCTACAACGGCGTTGCCACCAGCGTCGGCGTCATCACTGTTAGTATGCATGCTTGCGTATTTTAAGATAACGAACGCTCTTTTTACCCGACTGCCCCGTCTTTCGAGTGTATGTATGTAATTCTTCAGCACGCTCTGTAGAAATCTTAATGGGCTTGATAGATCTTAACGTAAGTGGTGTTAGAATCTTCTTAGTTATAGAACCCACATAGAATATAAAAAAAATCTCTCTTCAGTAATTGTTTTCTACAGTTTTTTTTAAATTACTGTAACCTGTGGGCTTATTATATCTTAGTGCAGTTGGCTATTCCTGGTTAGAGATTCTATGTTTTAATACACACGTTTTCAAAGTGTATAATATTGACAAAGACAAAGAGAAGAAGATCAATTACTGCACATTTTCACTCAGTTGCTTTGTTGGTTGATGTGTATAACGTAATGAATGTCAGTTTCTTTTTCCGCCTGTAACAAGTAGTCAAGAATGTCACTACCTTAAGAATGAATATTATACTAATGTACCGAACATGATATCACATAAGAGGTATGAAAATTACCTTCCAATTATATATTTTACGACCAGAACTTATAACCGGTCAAAATCACTTTTTACTGTAAAAATCAGGCAAAAGAAGTTTAGACTAAGGACATTAGTCAATACCACTTTCAGCTGCAAAAATATTGGGTAGAAGTGATTAAAGGTTTTGACCAATATTGCTAGTCAAAACTACCTTTTACTTATACTTTTGAATTATTATACTATTATATACGCGGCTTTAGGGTGGCCTAAGTGCCACCGCAGCCGTATCTTAACCTACTGTCACTGATATTACGAGTTTTGACCGATAGTCTGAAGTTTTAGTCAGGCAAAACCATTTTGGACTAAAACATTAGTCAAAAATTTTTTTGACTAAAAGCCCCGGTCAGAACCATTTTTGTCTGATTATCGCAGTCAAAAGTGGTCATATGATCGGTTATGAGTTTTGACTGTGACATATATAATTTCTTTATGAATGAATGAATAAATTAAATAAAAAAACAGCAGTGCGTGCACTGTTGTGTTCCGGTCTGAAGGGTATAGAGTGTCAGTGTAATTACAGGTTGTGAGGCATTCCATCTTAGTCCTCAGAGGTAAAAAATGCATCAATAGCCTTCTTTGTTTGTAGTAGACTGCAGGTGCCTCGACACTGCGGTAGTTACTTACCATCAGGTGAACAATGCTTAAAAGTGTGCAAGGCTGTATAATTTGTTCGTTTGGTGCACAGACGACGTCGTCGTCGTGCGCGACTTCGTGCGCGCTGGTGCCGGGCGGGGCGGGCAGCGCGCCGCCCACGCCGCAGCCCGCGCAGCCGCCCACGCCCACGCAGCCCCCGCCCACGCCTGAACCTGGTCAGTATCCAACTCTTCATTGACATCAATTTTGTTTTCTTTAATAAAACGTTGCCTCCACATTAAAATTTCCTCCCGTGAAGGCAGCTTACATACATATATTACATACATATAGGAGGACGGAACTTTTAGACCTGAAGTTAAATAATTTGTAATACTTTAAAAATTGGCTATATTTTTCTGACGTAGTATATATACCAAAAAACGAGCTCACTTTACAAACTAGATTTCTAAAATAAGAAGTAATTTAGAAATCGATTATAATAGATAGACTTTAATTCGATTCGGATCAAAAAATATAAAAAAAATAAAAAAGCTTCTAAGGGTTTATTTTTAATTAGTTACTTTGAATGTTACGAATATCCATTTGTAATCAAAATATATTATTTGCATAATGAAAAACGAAAATAAACATCTTTATGTCAATAAATCGATTAACAAGAATCGACTAGTGTAATCCTCGTTTCTGAACCGTGTCCTGGCACTCAGCGCTGCGCTAGCAGTTTTGGCGGGAACTTTACCGTTGACGGATTGTTGCTCCTGTTTTATAGTTCAAACAGTGGTTTGAAGTGGATTATGATACGCAAAAGTGATAATATTTTGTGTATTCTCTAAGCACAAACTATTACAGAAAACAACGAAACAAGTGCTTTAATTTTAATATAAACCTCAAGTTATTTTAATCGCTTAGGCGCCTTATGAACTTGAATGACTGTCGTCATCAACCGTCCGCTGGGTTGAGCTGTCGCCAAAATCTCTCAAAAACTTCACAATGTGAACCATAAGCATATTGTGAAGAAAAAATCTATAAGAACGAGAATACCGAATGAAATGCTATGCTAGCTTAAAGGACAAGCATCCAAGCCAAAAATCATAATAAAACAAAGCGCTGCAACTCGTAGAGCTAAGCCACTGCGCCACGGAGACGTTATTTAATGTCGCATAAATAGTATTTATTAATATGAAAGATAGCAATATATCGTTAATTTTTATTCCGTGTTTCTATTTGTGTATCAAAGATTAAAGAGAAGTGCTCTGTGCTTTGTATCGCGTAAATAACAGACTGATTTATTTCTAGTTTTCAATCCACTCCTTATTATGTTATAAGCCGTTTGATACACCCTACTATGGAAAAACTAATGGGGTTATGAATTAGCTCTGTTTATACGTGTTTATCTAATCCTTTTCACCTTATCTCACCACTTTAGTCAAATAATGGTTGTCAATTGATGATAATACGCCTTTAATTCCACATATAAATAGAAACACTTGAAAAGATCTCATGACCTTCGTAATTAAACCTGATGTAAAATGTCCAGATATCGATCCCGCCGGAACTAATTAAGTTGTTAATTGCAATTTTATGTGCCAAGCAAACGTGGTAAACGTTTGCTTGGCGGTGAAGAAAACATCGTGAGGAAAACTGTTTATTTGAGAAATTAAATTAATTTCGAAGACATGCGAAGCTAACACGCATTATGGAAGCACGATGGACATTTACATGCGCTAAAACCTTTCATGGGGGCTCCATGGAAGCGCAACCTACGAGTATATAGGCTAGGATATAATTTTATACACATGCACTCACAAAACATACACGTAGTTCAGTTAAAAATGGGGCGTTAGTCCGTAAAAAAATATTTCTATTTATTTTATCATTTTCAATGGGTTTCCCCTGAACATTATAAAATAAATAACTAATACAAAATTTATATCTAGGTATATAAGTAAGATTTATATAAGGGAACTTAAAAACTATTCACTATTATTTGTATACAAGTGCGCTTCTGAAAAGACTATCTGAAAACATTTGAAAGTTTTCTATTTAAATTTTTAATATGTGTTTTAATATGGTATGTGTTTTTTTTATTTTAAAAGTCAAGGGAAAATCTTAAAAATTTTAATACTTTGGCAATTAAATTTATTCGATAAAAATATTATCCTATAAACATCACGTTTAACTTGCCATATATACTTGTCTTCTTTTGCGGTTTTCTCCAGTAGAACGCAGAACGTATTTTATTTAATTTGAATAAATAATAATACATTTGGCTGTGACTTCAAAGGTTTGTTAATAGCACTTATCATTTACTAAATAATTTAAGAAATCTTTTTGTAACAAAATTGAAGGATTTTTTTAATTTAGTACACCTTCGAATCTATTTACGAAAATTGGAAATACGTTTAATATCATGGATTTATGTTGTCGTACAGCGAGTTCCGAGTTCGATTATTAAACGTTAATTTCGGGTTTTGAATACAAACATTCGATTTTTATAATCATTCATTAGTTTTTAAATAATCGGTGATGCTGCTGTACGTCCTAAATATTTTTGCAGCTCCTGTAAAATGTAAAAGTTGTGTACTTTATAAGTATTATTTGTGATTAATATATCTTATTACACACGTAGTTAGCAAATATTTATTTTAATAGTCATAATACTACTAAAATACGTTCAAATATGTTACATGAATGTAAAATAAATGGGCAATAGTTAATAATATTTTAAAATAAAAATGTTACAGTTGATTTATGTAATGAGAATAAAGAATACAGGTATTAGTGTTTCAGCTGACAAAATTTTAGTAATTGCTAAGTTCTTTCTGCGACTTCGGAAATGTGCGAAGTAACTCCGCATGGTAAAACAGAAACGTCTTCTAAATTGTTTACCCTCGGTAACAAAACTTATTTTCCACGCTCTAATATTTTTACGAACTGTCATAATCATAAATCATAATATAATATAGTATTAATAAGGTCGCATTTATAACAACAGAAATGAATTTTTATTTTTATTTTCTTACACTTTTATAAGTAACGTTTTACCAGGTACTTTTGAAGAATAACCTTATTTACATATAATGATAGCAATTAAAGGGGCAATTATTAAAAAAATATTTATGATTTCTTTCACTCCATTAATAATGTGAGGTTTCACACGGGTGTTTTGTTAAAGTTATTTTTAATTAACTGCCAAAAATAGTTAATACAACATTATTGTAGTTGGACATATATATTTAAATTCACAACACTACAATACCTTTTTATTTATTATTTAAGACATCTATTTTGTGTTACTATCCACTTCTATAGTTAGTAATTTGTTCACTTTTATGCGTATCATTTGGCATAGTTCAAAAGTGTTGTACAATACATAATCACCGTAAATCAAATGACCGGATAATATCCAAACATTTATTTAACAACGACAATCATACACTTAATTAAATAAACGTACTATCCGGTGCGTGATCACTGCGGGCACAACTCGGTGTTGGAAGTAGAGGGTCGGTCGGGTTCGGGGGTGTCCTTCTCGGCGGCGACCTCCTCGCCGTGGCACCGCTTGCGGTGCTTGTGCACGAAGTAGTAGGAGGGGAACTTGGAACCGCAGGTCTTGCAGGGATAGTAGTGTAGCGTGGGGCGATGTTTACGCGTTCTGCACGCCCACTCGTGTCCATCGGCCTCGCGCCACGCCGCGTTGAGAACTCGCCTGAAGCGGACAGGTCCGTCGCACGATGCTACGTCCAGTACTGTCGTGGGGTTTCGCGTGGGTTCTGGGGGCTCAATGCGTTCTACGTCCAGTTCGCTGGAGGTAGAGGATGTTGGCGAGGGTGGTGTTGGTGTTGAGGGGGAGGGTGCTGGTGTGGGAGCCCGTGCCCGGCGCGGGACTGGCCGGTGAGCACCGGGCGGCGGGCACGGGCGCGCCACGCACGGGCTCGGCCCCAGCCACGCGCGGTACAGCGACAACATGCCCGCACCGCACTCGATTGTCTACTGAGCGCGCCCGCTATGACTCGTCCTTTATATATGCGACGCCCGATATCACGACCGAATTCTTGACAACTGATACCGTACCAGCGTAACATAGCATAGCAGCTCAATGCTGCTGTGTTTCGTAAGCTAAATGTACAGAACCGAAGGGTAACGAGGCATTATATCTTACAATACACAGGAGTGACAAAGCTTCTGCAATTTGATTCTTAATTGAGGATAGATGTAGATGTCTATGGGCTGTGGACTGTGTGCTAGTTTGTCATAGTTCTATAACATAAAAAATATATGAAATTGCTAATCGCGAATGCCGTATCTCGTCAACATATAATTAATTATTGAAGTATAATTAAATAAATTAACTGTACTCCTCACTGTTATTTTAACGTAGTTTAATTTCATTACAATCTGCAAACGGGGAGTCAAAGGGCTAGAGGTGACCGGCCGCATTAAACATTCATAAAACACAAACCGTTGAAGATTGTATACTTATAATTATCTAATTGAGATTGTTCTGTGTATTATAATCATAAAATGCCTTATATATAACGCACGTATATATGTCTTGCTCAATGAATTTCATGAAATATGATTCTTTATTTGCTTTTCTAAAGAAACTTGCAACAGGTTCTGACCGACTGAAGTTTAGAAAATCTTATGATAAAATAAATGTCTATATATATAATCACTGTTCGTTTTTATCTACCAATAATTTTCTGGAAGTGAGGTTCTCAAGAGCAGCTTTGTATCATTACGCGAGCATAAGCACCACACATGGATTGTCGACCTTTAATTGCTCTCACTGGTACTAATGTCTAGTTTAGAATATAACTTTAAACATCAAAACCGATTAATATAGCACACCATAACTAAATTATATAACTAAATTATTTAAAGTACACCACAGATGGGTTTCCGACCTGTTAAAAGATACTCAGTAAGTTGATGGATGCAGGTGGAACAGGATCGGGTTTTGTGGCATTCCTTGGAGGCCTAAGTGGAATTGTTATAGGTTGTAGTAATGATAATAGTATTTTGCAACTTAATTAAATTATTATGTAAAAAGGATTTCACATTAGGATTAAAGCATAAGTATTTAATTCTTGTTTGAATTTTTTATACATAAACACTTTTGTAAAAATACAATGATCACCAGCACTGTAAACAAAACCTGAATCGATTGGTGAGACGAGTGGATAAATTGCAGAAATAAAGCTTTCAATTGAAA